AATATTCTTCATTGTCACCTTTTGCCCGAAACACTACGCTCCTTTGTGCTTCCGTGTGTGGGTTACCGCGTGCACGAACTCAACCGGTGCACGCCTGCAAACTTGTTGTCCCATGAGAATTCAGTAACAGCCCACCCGGTTCCGCCATGGACGGCAGCGTTTTCAGCGACGTAGTGCAGGTAGAGCTTGTCGTGTGTGGCTTCGAAAAGCCAAGCGGCAGCCCAGAGCAGTTCATCCTGCATCCAGGAGTTGAATTGTTGCACCTGATTCTATGCTTTGTTTTGGATGATCGATCTGTATCAGAGAAGTGTTCTTTACCGAATAGCCACCGGAAGAAGGGTAGTACTTGCGAACAGAGTCGTCGTATCGGCCTCTGTATGTATCAGCAAAGGAGACCAGCTGCAAGACGAACATCAGATAGATATATATATATATATATATATATATATATATATATATATAACCTGGATGGTCGCAGTTTACCTTGTATGCTGTCCTTGGGGTGGTCATGTCCTCTGCCCTCTTCCAACAAAGTATGATCGGTGTCTCCATCACCAACCTTTTCACACGATTGATTGTCGAGGAAAGAAACAGGGAAGAACACAAACAAGTAGAGAGAGAGAGAGAGAGAGAGAGAGAGAGAGATTGCTTGTTGTTTACCTGCACCCATAGAGTGTCAGGTTGTCTGTGTGCTTTGACCAAGTAATCGGTTCCCCAGCGAATTGCTTCGAGAGCGGAGTCTAATTGGCCTGCGGCGACTATCTGCTCTTCGAACTCGACTGCGGCTCCATGACAGCATCGTCACAGCATACGCCATCGGCAATCCAAACTTCACATGATCACCGGCGTCGTAGTAGCCTCCCTCCAAGTCCACCTGAGCAAGTGTGTCGGAAGAACATGATGACTGATACCGGTCATCTTCTTCCCGGCCGAAGATGCATGAGATGGATAAGGAGACTGACCCCTTGGCTTGCCCGACCTCCGGGCCCCGAAGAACAGCAGGCTCTTTTCCAAAGCTAATATGAAGAAGGCAACATCAGAGATAATATGAACAAGTCATGTTTTGAGCACGGAGGTTTTTTGTTTAGATGGTTTCCAAATAAACTGGTTTTCTGGTTACAATAAATGGAAACCAAAAACAGAGAATTTGAACTCTGGATGCTTAAAGAAACTTCCATTCATATGCAAGAGAACACAAGCAAAAATGTGGCAACTTAACATAAAACTTGAAAAAAAATGAATCACTTGTAGAGACGATTTTTCTCGACAACAAATCCCGAGTTTTCCATATGATGAATTCTCCTTAGCATGAATAAGATCGTTCTGTTCTACTGCAAGATGTAAGGGAAGTAGATTGCTCACATAGTGCTTGTTTTGAAACAGAATCAACTCAGAGTTGCATGTCAGGTTCTAATACATTTTAGCTCTCAGTGAAAAACAAGAAGAGGTTCTGTGATCTCTCTTCATAGCTCCATAAACAAAGAATATTTTGCATCGAACCCTTCTATGCTCTCAAGGACTGCAACTAGGCATGCATTGTTGACATCAATTGGATCAAGATTGTCCAGATAGCACCATTTCATCATTTCTTCACCAGAATGTATAGTGCTACTCGATCACTACGATAATCAGGATGCCATTGACTCTGATCGACACGACCAACTACAAACTCTTTCATTGCACCTTCCAAGAAGTATTCAAGTACAGCATCTGCCAAACAGAGATTATAAGTGAGAAGTCTTGACAGGACATTTTTTTTTATTACTGTCTCGGAGAAAAAGAAACTACCATTTCGGAGTTCCCCAGCCACAAAGACTGTTGTATGGCACCCACAAATTTGCTTTAATGTCGATAAAAGATCCTCAACTGCTGCTTCACTGTAGACTACATCTGATCCAAGAACTAAAATACAAAATGTTTGCAAAATATTACCAAAAATATTTAACCAAGATAAGTCTAATAATCTGTGGAAAAACTGCAGCTTAGAGGTCACCAATCAATGCTCTAAATGACAGGAGATCAAAGATGAATCCCAAAAATTTCTCATGCTGTATCTTGGTGTATGAAATGGCAGATCAGCGATTGAAACCTTGGCACAAGTCAAATATTAGCACGGCAACATAAAGCGCCAAATCATTGATTTTTTTTTTGAAGTCCAGCATATGCTTGCCTCATGTCTTATATCTGGTAACTACAAAGTTGCTCCAACTCTACCTACATTATGTTAATTTCCTTTCCCTTCTATTGGTTTGAAAGGAAATGGCAGAGAAAGTCTTTGTACCAAAAGATCTCTCCCTTGAAAACAGATAAGCAGCACATGCATTTAGGAAAGAAAAAGTAAAACAGTTCTCCTATTCCCTTTTGTATGCTAAGTATGGCAAATGTGAGGATTTACTCTCCCTTTGAGATGGGTTGCAGGAAAAGTGATTGATAGGAAGATTTCAGAACTTCTCTTCTGGTACTGATAGATAAGACCGGAAAAAAAAAAAACCTAGTTTTTTCTACAGTCTGGAAAACAAATTAACTCTATTTCCTTTGAGGTATCAAAGATACACTGAAAGAGATATTTTCAAGACTATACAAGAGATTGATTTTAAAGACTACTTTCATAGAACTTACATCCAATGAAATGCATCCTTATTGACTCAAATAAAATATAAAAAACCTATGCCCTTCCAGTATTATAGATTATAGTGATACTTCAAGTCTTGACATTGCTTTGCGGATTTTTATTTATGGCCTCAGTGTACGATTATGGCACCAAATTGATGGAAAAAATTGGATGATCATATATGTATTGCTAAAGGCAATACGAGTCACGGAAACAATCTTTTTAAATATTTAAAGATAAGGCTGATCCTCCCGGATTCTGCATTGACAGGAGCCTCGTGCTCTGGGTACACCCTTTTAATACATGTATCGCTAGCCATTTATGATAAATACGTTATAATCCACCTCTATGCCATGCAGCAGATCTTAAATTAAGTAGATGAGGAAATAACTATGTATCATACCAATGTCAGGCATGGGATCGAGGAGCTCCGTATCGATATCATCACCCCATGTAAGCTCGCTAACTCTCGCTGAGCCACGCTTATTCCATCCTTCCACATTCAGATCCACGTTCTTCTTCAGGAGTTTGAGTCGGTCAGGAAGATCGGTGAGCATGACATCTGCACCCAAGAGAGCTGCTATACAGCTGAAGACACCAACAAATAGCAATCAACTATGCTCTATCAATACATGAATTGCATTCAAATTCAGGTGCAAATTCGCCTAGCAATCCGCTTTACATGCCCTCGGAAGCAAGATCGAGAAATCGAAGTTACCCGACTAAGCCACAGCCGGCGCCGAGTTCGACGACCCTTTTTCCATGGAGACTCAGCGTTCCTGAGTCAACAGCATGCTCCAAGAACTTGCCGAGAACGATTCCGCTGTCCCACATCACCGCCCCGGTCACGCCGGGCGTGCTCTGAACACGCCCACGTACATGCGCAAATCTAGCTCGCTTGAGAAGAAGGGTAGGGGATCGAACAAATGAGATGATTTACCATGGAGGAAGGGGACTGGAGGACGGTGAGGCGGTGGCCGCAAGCGTCGATAGCGAGGGTTCGGGAGGAGTGACGGACGAAGGCGTTCTGCCGCTGCGCCGCCGGCTGATGCAGAGCCCACAGCAGCAGTATCTCCCCCGCCGCCTCCTCGACCACCTCCGCGTCACGGCCATACGCTCCCAGTCGCATCGTGGCCACGGCCGCCGCCGACTCCGCGACCGAGGTTGCCTCCATACCTGGCTCGGTGGCGTCCGTCCCGACCGGGTTAAATCAATTAAGTCGATCCGAACTAGCAATTGGCTGAACCGGGTGTTTTTTTGTGCCTACCAACTCGTTTCGGCTCGCGTTAGGCCGACCGTAACATGCAAACAAGGTTAAGTCGTCTCATTTGCCATATTTTCTACAGGTAATGCCATATACGCACACAGTTTATGAGGCAAAGTCTCCGAGATGTTCTGTAGATTGAGTTGTTCCGTGACAGATAGGGATGCAGCAGAGATGGCATTACGAGTAGGGTTCCGGTGGCCTTGACATCCAAGCAGGAATGAGGCAGACGAAAGTTATGGGCAGATGTGGAAATTCAACTATTTTTCTGCATTATCTTCTCTTTCGTTTCTTGGATTCTATGTTTTCTCATGATAAAGATGTACGAAGAGAGTCTATGGCTTCAATAGTTCAAACACTTTTCATGCGTTTGGTTGTCTTCCTCCGGTAGCTCACGCTATCCATGCAGAAAGGGTACGCCCCTTTTGTTTGCTGCGCTGCAAGCAGCTCTGTAGCAGCTGTTTAAGTCTCGTGAAACCAAACCTGTATGCTATCAGTAAAGAAAGCAAGAAGCGAGCAAATGCTAAGCCATGAAGATTTCCTGCTACATGGTTGCGATACTTGCTGCTGCCGGTACCTCTTTGTCGGCAATGGACGAGGTGCCTGAGTTGCTCGGCAGGAGAGGAGGAGGCCCGTGGACTCCGGAGCACAGAAACATGGAGGGAGGTGAGAAGCTCGAGCATGGCTACGATAAGAGCGGCGGAGGGAGGACTGAGGAAGGATTGGAGATGGTCGAAGCCCCACTGCAGCAGCCAAGGATGCAAGAAGACGATGAACAAGTGCACTGACTCCCTCGACAAAGACCAGGGCAGATGCATGCAAGCCTTTTATGTTTCTGCAACGGAATCAGGAGGTAGAATTAGTTCTCTTCTCCGGCATTCCTTGTCGTGTTCGTCTTTCCTGGTCTGCCTTCTGCAATAATGTTAATGATATAAGTGCAGACATGTTAGCGTATAAGCTTACCAGGATTTGAGAATTCCTTTAACGTAGGAACACGCTGAAGTTATCGACATGAACGCCAAACTAGTGCAAAGATGAAACCTACTAGCAGAAGCATAATGATATGGCCAGTAAAGCTTGAGCCATCACAAACATACCGGACAATACCGCAATTATTTGTCAAAATTAAAAAGATAAAACACACAATTTTATTCAAAAGACAAATTAATACCGTTTGCACAACATAATACAGAACTAATGGTATGGTCAAACCAAATAATTGTAGCATATAGCACGACTCACTACCTATTGTTTCTAGGTCTCAGTTTGTGAACAATCTTGTTGTAATTAAAATTTCTTCCTAATTTATAACCAAAAAAAGAAAGACTCACACCGATTTGCCGCTTGCAGTGTGGGAATGTGATCATCTTTGGGCAGGGCAAAGTTCACCTTGGAACCAATTGTGTAAAAGTAATAGGACTCAATGTGAATTGAGCAGCGGAGTCGATGGTGGTCGATCCCTTAAACTGGGTGCTGCTGGAGATTGTTCCTTCAGAAGCTTTTCTCGTGCTGGAAGAGCCTTCCACATAGCCTGGGGGTGTCAATTCCTTCTCATTGAGTCTGATGGGCTGGGACAGCATATGTACAACCTGTGTCATCGAAGGTCGCCGTACAGCTACTGCTTGGGTGCAGAAGAGGGCTACCTTAATAAACTTCAGAACTTGTTCTTCTGGATATTCTTGCAGCACCGGATCTATCAGTTCTTTAAGCCTTCCCTCCTGAAAAAGCTGCCATGTCTGTACGTCCACAAAACATAAATTGTGGTAAGAACAAAATCTGGGATTGGCATTCAATTTATCAAGGGGAAGATATCACAAGTGTCCTGTGAGAAAAACAAAAATAAAGGCGGCCACCTCTTTTTTGTTTTAGATTCTGTATATATTTTGAATCTTAGCCTTTGTGGAGAGTAGATTATTAGTAGCGGTGATCATGGTTCATCTTATCGATTCGTCCTGATATACTAACTAGCCGTCGGTACGATACGTTTCAATATACCAACTCATGGTACGGTGAGACATACCGACAAACTAATATATACCGCTCGTATTAGTCTCCTATTGGACTATACATACCGCCCATACTGGGTGATACATCGTGGTCCAATGAACTTTAGTAGTGACAATATTTAGATTGAAACAACTAATTTTGCTAAGATCATTGAAAGAATTAATTTGACAATATTTCAGATTGAATATTAATTGAAAAATGAGGAAGCTATAAGCTATCTTGAGAAGCTTTTCACCAAGTTAAATATTCACAGCATCATGACACTATAAAATCTACTGAAATAAACTTGGACTTCAGCTCCATGTGCTGCAAACATTGTATCTCGTTCACATAAATTAATTCAGAGTGCCTTAGTAAGCAAATGTTTTAGTATATTTGAGGTTGCTACTTTGCAACCGGGATGACCATGACATAAGTCATAGGAACAATATCTTTATTTGCAGGGTAAAGCTTTATGCATTGACCCTCACCATGCACTGGTAGGATCCTTGTACATTTGGGTTAGCTTTTTAATGTAACACATGCATCTATGCAGGTTTGTGATAGATGGATTGAGCACGTGGTTATCAACTATACTTCTATTGCCATGGTTAATTTATCTTTAACCAATTAAACCAAAAAGTGCAACATATAGTGTAAGAAACATCCACTATTAATGCCAAGCAAGACAATTTCAGGGAAATCAATAAATATAAACTATAAAGGCAAGAAATGGCATCTAAGCAAATCAGTAAAAACTAAAAAGTATGTATAATGTTGAGTGATGACTTACCCGCTCTAAGAGAAACTGATTCACGCCTGACAAGTATGACTTTGAAATACTTCTGCCACTAATTATTTCAATAACAAGGACCCCAAAGCTATACACATCAGCCTTCTTAGTTAACTGGCCCTGCAAGGCATACTCAGGTGCCAAATAACCACTGCATTGAATATCGCACATGTAAGTAACACAAGGGAAAAATATGTTGGGCATATGACAATTCTCAGTTTGTTGCATCACTTTATTTTTATTTTTTGTTACACTCCTATAATCCCAGGGTAGCAGCAGCAGGAAGAACTATATTGCAACAATGTGCCAAGTTTAACAAAATTTTTGGGTATCAACAACACTTTTGGCTGACCATTTTGTCCATAGTCATCTAGACAAGAAGAAAACCAACAGCCTTATTTAGCTAAATCCTCTCAAGAAGGCAGAATACAGCACACTAAATACCATTCTGCTCTGTTTGACAAATTCCAATTTTGAAAGAACATGTTGACATATGTCTATTTGTAGTTTACTGTGTTAAGGCAATAATTCTTAATTTAAAAATCAAATTCTTCATCAATGTGGAAGTTGGTGAAATCCATGACATGAAGGGCCTCCTGAATAACATCTTAGGTCTAAGATTGGACCAGTTATCCTTTCTGCTAGTTTGAAGGAAAATACTTTCTTCATGCAACATTCAATGGTTAAAATGGTTAAGCGATACATGTACTTAAAATACAATCGTGTTCATAATTCCAAATGATTCAATATTAAAATTACAAATATTTCACATTTAATCAACTGACACATTTTGAGTTGTGGGGCAACAGTGTCCTTTCATTATCTAATAGCCAAAATTATTAAAAGATCAATAATTTTTTTTATGATGGCTCTACATGTGAGTTTAATGATGAAAGCACTAAAAAACCAAACTAGTTCTGCTAGTTAAATTATTAATTTATGACGCACTCCAAATTTTTATGTTCATGGACTACAAGTTATTCAACCTAATAATCAAGGTAAAACTTACACAAGTAGTTATGGATGGCTTACGTTGTTCCAGCTACACGTGTGCTGATATGAGTAACATTATCAGGAAAAAGCTTTGCCAAACCAAAATCACCAATTTTTGGGTCAAAATTACTGTCAAGAAGAATATTGCTAGCTTTGATGTCTCTGTGCACGATAGGAGGTTCAAGATCTTCGTGAAGAAAAGCAAGACCTCTAGCAGTGCCTATACAAATTGCAGATCTGATATTCCAACTCAGCTTGGTAGACTTGTCAATATTCATACCTAGAAAGTAAAAGAATTTTTAAAAGAAGACAAAGCAAAACTTATTGTTTTTAACTCATCATACTTGTTTAACTTTGTCAAGGTTACCTAGCAAAGTGCGATCAAGACTACCATTCTCCATATGCTCATACACTAAAATGCGGCTGCTATCTTGGACACAGCAACCTATAAGCTCAACAAGGTTTGGGTGCCCAACATTTGCAATTGTATCAATCTCAGTCAAGAATTCCTTCACTCCTTGCTTGGATTCTGCAGATAGCACCTTTATTGCAACTGTTACTCCATTCCTTAGAGTGCCCTGTCATATAATAATATGAAAAAGAAACAGATGAGCTTGTAGTTCTACGAGGATTGCTGTTACTTTTCATGTAGAAATACCTAAGTTGAATGATCAAGTTGCAGTTCAAAGTAAAACAATTATAACTTATGTATGAAATAATAGTAAAATTAACATCATTTTGACCAGAGTAAGAGAGAGATTTTTAGTAATTGATTAATTGTTTTAATGTAAGCCAGTGTCAAAGTTCCCTGGTGATCAAGTTTAATCAATCTTTTCATATAAGCAGTACCTGCTGTACATTTTAACTTTGTTTTTGGTTTTTTTTTCCTTTCTCTTCTTCCACCATAGGCTCTTCTCCTTCCACACCACCATCTCCTTCTCATCACTGCCATTGCTCTTCTATTGCTCATCTGCATTGCCACATCCCCATCTCTCCTTCGCTGCACAGTACTGTAACACTCCCCCATCACATCCCTCTCTCTCTGCCCCTCCCTCCTTATAGTGATCTGGCTAGTACCAACCACTAATGCATACCGACACTAAATATCAGTATCCTACCAATCCGACCACCAGCTGGTACCAATACTGTACCAAGATTTACTCTTGATGTAGATCATTTAGCATCTTCTTAATTAGTTAAGTCTATTCCAGTAAGTTCATCATTATTGACCGACATTCCAATTTCACATATTCAATATACTTCTTGAAAATAGATGCACAAAAGTTGCAATCATCATGTCAACAAAACATGGTTAACTAAGACAATAACATTACCAAAGATCATGATATATCTTCAGATCCATTAACTATTAGTACCATCCATGAAAAAAAAGGGAGAAAAACAAATCCCCCCTAGTGATCATAAACTGATCCAAATGGAGGAATCACATCAAGGGTGTAAGAGTCAATATGTGCAATTCAAAAAATGATGTTATTAGTCAATGTGTGCAATTCCAGAAAGGTTATGATTTATCAGTCTACAAATTTTATCCAGTAAAACTAGAAATAATACATCAAATCACATATTAGCAACTTCTCCATTGGATCAATATTAAGTTACAAAAGACCAGAAGTCATCTTACATTCCTACATGTGATAATTGTTTATTGCATAAAGTTGCAGCATGTTTATGAGGACACTAAATATTTCTCAAGGTTTTCATTTTTTAATGAAACATTAGATATTAATCCACTGTAAAGAATTTTTTAATGTAGAAGCAGTTTAGAGCTAGAGCTCTATGTTTCGTCATCTGCCCAGCATAAATAAACTGAAAACCAATTTGTCACATGGGAATAAAATCCATCAGCAACAGTAAATTTATTAAGCATATAAATTCAAGTTGACTTCAGTGGTCACCCACATCAGACAAAAAGAAAACAGAAAGTGCTGATTCTCTTACCTTGTATACTGTTCCAAAACCACCCCGACCTATCCTTTTGTCCGGACAAAAATTATCTGTTGCTGAACTCAGATCACTGTAGGAGAAAATCTTTATTTTTTTGTCAGATGAAAACCCTGGATTAGAGGAAGAAGTCAATGTTAGTATAGATACCCTATATCACATAATACAAACTTACAATCTATTTTTCGTTGCAATAAAATGCACAAATAATTGCAATTCCTGACAGGCATTTATGGTTGCCTAGAATTATATTTGTAGGTATGTATAGTTTTGAGAAATTGACCCTTTAAGTTGCACTTCACTTTATGTCAGTTCAGAAAGAAAATTATTATATTGACATGGAGTTATCAGCAACCTTTCACCTGATAATCCCATTTTACTACAATAAGAACCAGTGATTCCGAACAAAGACTTGGCCTTACTAGTGAAAGGAAGAATGTTACCATTCAATTAATAGTCAATCAAATACAAAAACGTGCAGAAAAGATCTACATTATGTAGAAAATAGGCTGCAGTAGGATTATGATACCAAGGAATCTTCCACCAACATTCTTTAGGGAAAAAATTAGTGGCCAAATCACCAGATACAAATGAATCTTGTAAACATTGACCCAAACTAAAGTACAAGAGTAAAGAAAATGAAATACTTAACCCCACATTTACATTTTACATCTTACACATGCAAATCAAATGGTCATGGAACACTAACCAAACAATCAGAAATAAGCTACTTCGCATGTTACATGTGCTCAACTGATTCCGAGGAAATCATAGTAGTTATCACAGTAATAAAAAGTTTTCTCCTATATCACCGGTGTGCCTCCCAATTTCCCACATTCCACATTCTTTTCCATAATTAACATCCCTGAAACTTGGAAACCTCTAGCATATCACGGATAAGATAATGTGAAAGCATAAATGCTTTCAAGAAGTTCTTACCGGCTAGTTCTTGCTCAGAATGTTGACGAAGTTTTTTCCTGGACAGTAAAGCATCAAAACAGGAACAGTTCATATCAACTTGTTGCACGTGTCACAGCTGTCAGATATATCACATATGCTGCCTGCAGTCTGACAGTAATGAAATGTCATCTGTGAAAAAGAATATGTTTTATATTTTAATTGCCATCAAACTCTTACTAAAAACATGTTATGCTGATACAAGGCTTAGCAGTGCCTGACATAAAAATTAATGCATATCATATCAATTAGTGCACTGAACTCCTGCCACTACAAGGTCTAAGGAGTAATTGTTCTTCCTCATTTCATTATATATCAAATACACGTAATTATTCACGAATGAATTCCACACATCCACCTCAATATTCTAATCTCAGTGACACAAACTTTTTGTATATATTATTTTTTAACTAATTACCCAACACTCAAATCCGTTGGTTTAACAATTGTTTTATGAAATTTTCCTTCGATCTAAAAGGTATAATTGATCATATAAAACTCTTGACACCCATCTCCACCTTTAACTCTCAATTTATACTCTATAAATAATATCTTAATCAATCTCTCCATCTTGTCAACTAATTAGTCCAAGATGCCTAAATCTTTTAACACCCCTCTCCACTAAGTTTCAAGAGATATTCCAACCCATGCACTCAAATTTTACGTTCTAAAGTTAATATACAAATTTGTTTCTTCGTATGATCAAACATGCTCAATATGATATCACAGCCAACAGGCTACTCTCTACTTTTATTAGCAAAGTTCTGGTACATAACTGACACAACAACTATGATAATTCAACTATCAGATCACTTAAAACAGAAGTATAACTAAAAAACCTGAGTAAAATACAAAAAATGTCTACACCCAGGAATCCGGACTGACACCTTCTTCAAACAGGACAGCGATCACTACACCACTGAACTAAATATCGAACCAGCAACACAAAGCAAGCAGGGTGAGCTAAAAGCGAAAAAAGAAGCCACGCAAGAAGAGAGAAGAAATTAGACCTACCAGAACCCAGATCTGCTTTAAACTACGTCTCCATGAATGCGTGGAGATTCCAAGACAGCGACTGCTGCAACGCAAATTAAATGGTGAACGAGCAATCCCTATCGAGCAAGAATGTATAACCCTATCAAACAACAATTAGGGCAAAATAGACAATAGAGGGGGGGGGGGCAGGGGGATAAAGACGCCGCGAAAGAAGAGAGAAGAGATCAAACCTGTCGGAAGCCAGATCTTCTGCTTCGAACTACAGCTCCTTGAACTCCCTTCGAAGCCCTAGAACTCCGAAACCGAAGAGGAGGGAGGGGCTACTAAAAGTAGACAGCGAGGAGTTCGCTCACGACAAAAAGGAGGGATGACTCCGCACCTCCGCTTCCTCCCAAACTCTACGTCTCCCCGGGAAAGGCAAATGGGAACTCGTTGTCCCGAAGGTAGTCGCAACTGTCTTCTTTCTTCGTCTTCGACGCTGGCCGCGCGGTCCGCGGTCCGCGGTCGAGGATGATCGGTAAAATGCACCAGGAAACAACAAAGAACAAGATCACGTAGCAAGGCCAAAACACCAAAGCCGGGAAACACGTCGTGGATATCCCCGTAAAATTGTGGGGACCCTAGTGATGGATCCAATAGAACGGCGCGCTCCAATCTTCGATGGCTCGACCGGAACAGCTGGTCGGATGGACGATCGTCCGCCGACGCGTGGTGGACATTGGTTTCATGTTTCTCTGAGATTGACGTGAACCGAGATGCGTTCGCATTAATGGCTAAAGGATGGTGGGAGTTTTCCCCTTAGCAGCCATCAAACGTCGTTGAATTTTGTTTTCCTTTGATGCAATGGGATGTGGGGTTGGTGATCGACATCCGACATTTTACCGGAAACATCTCTATTATTGATTTTTATTTTATTATTTTTTTTATGGCATGACGTTCCTATTTATTTTAATCTGAGATATTTTTTTAATAATAAAAGACTCATAAATCAATTGAAATTAATTTTTTTGAATAAATATTATGATCAAATATAATAAAAGGTCAACTAAACAAAAAAAAAATAAGTATGACATAATTTTTGTTTTTTTTTAATTTATGATAATTAATTATAAAAAATTATAATTTTAGAAAAGGAACTGTGATCGAGTGTTTTAACTTGATCGGCATGCACGCAACCAAAACCCAAATTCCATAGAACCACATCATGTCTAACGTAAGACTGGATGGAGACTTCTACCAGTACATGATGGGTGACCAATATTGAAGTTCTAACAAAGAATTAGGTTTGGGGGAAGCCTTTTGAGTTTTAGAATGGGTTGAAATTAGAGTTTGGGGTTCTCACTAGATAGGATTGTTTAATCTTGATTAATCCTGGAATTAGAGTTAAAAATGTTCCTCAGAAGATAAATTTAGAGGGGATGAAACTAACCTATATCAGATTTGGAAGATGATGAAGTAGATGATCAATAGCCATGAAATAAATCTTAAGGTCCTCCAGAGAACTGCAATCCAAGCTTTGACCATCTCATGAAAGCATACCATCGCCACACTTGCAACTCCAGAAAACATTTGCGTGACCACAGCAAACTGCAACAAAGTCAAAGACACTACGGCGGCTACTGTGTCAGGAACAAAGCTAAAAATAGGCAGTCATACATGCTTTGTCAATTTGAACAACATTTATACATTAGTTTACTTCCACATGAATGGTACATGCATTGTATTAGCATTGAAACGAACCGCCATATCCAAAGTATAATATTCGTCTGGAGAGAAGGAACGCCGTAATTAACTAAGCACAGTTTCACCGGAGAAAATTTTGTTAGATAGTTGTAAGGTCTTGGGATCAAAAACCAGTCTTCATCACTTACCCCTGCAAAAATTTTAAAAAGAAGTTACAAGACTATTATATCAAGAATGCCCAGATGCAAGCAGCAAAGCATGTCATCTTCTCATGGGTTTGCTTACAATTCAAGAATCAATCTTCAAAGACAAGCTGGGGGCAGCGGTTTGATAAGTTTGCTGAACCTCATTTCTCAGAAGAGGCAGCCTAGCTGGGACAAAGTCGTCATCGCTGTCATAATCAATTGAACTGTCTGGTCCGAGAGCCCTAAGCACCATAGCCGTGAAGATAGAAAATGCCTGGAAATCAAAGTCTGACTTTACCAAACATCCCCCAAGTGAAGAACTTTCATTTTGAAATATATGTTGAAAAAGCTTGCACGAACAAGAATTACACCAAGTAGACAAAATAGATTTTCAAGTAGTGTACTTGTGACATCTGACACAAGACATTTTACTTTAGTGCACTATGGTAATGTATAAACCTGTACATACACTTAGACGACGGACCCATGTCGTGGTAAGATCAAGAAGCTGAAACTGGTAATACATGTTGAGCCAAAACAGTCTTTGATAGAGACACTAAATCAAGATCGCAAAACTCACAACCCAACAAAGAAATGGTCATGAAACATTATCCAGGAATGCACAACATGAAGAGCTAACCTCAAAAGGAATACTAACGCCCTAATATCCATGAGAAGTTCAAGTGGGATGGAAAAAGTATCAAGATCCAGCAAAAGATGTATCTCTAGCCAGAAAACGAAAATCTAAGATGATGTTGAAAGAATCAGCAAAAATCATGTCACATCAATGAAAGAGCAACTCTCCTTAACCTATGGATAACCAGATAGGTCTGAGTAACCCTGAAGCCCAACCACAATGTGAACCTAGTATTAAGTTATAGATACCTAAATCGGATTCATTAAACTACCAATATGTAGGATTTGTATGTATTCGGCACAAATTTGACCATGTCCGCTCATACGTGAAAAAAAATGTCCTTGGCATAATTTATACAAAAAATTATAAGAGAGCATAAATTTTAAGAAAGTAACACCGAAAGAACTTGAAGAAAACAGACCCCTAAGTCTGCATTGTAGAAGATATATATGGGCACTGTACCAATCACATGTGCATGATCGAGAGACTTGTTTCACTTTGTGAAAGAATGTCCTCACACTGTTTTCCAAATGCAGATTAATAGTAGCAAGATAATATAACACTACCTAAATAGATTAACTAACTAACTAGCAGCCACTGAACCTTCACTTCTCAATGTTTAGAGTTTGGGTTTATAATTCAATAATCCTGACAGGTAACAGAATGAAAGTAAAGTTGCCACAAGCAAATGCATAAATGAGAACAGATTACTCACTTGTGCAGCCACAACCAACAAACCTATCCATTTACACATTTCAAAATTTGATCTCACAAAATTCTTTAGCTCATCAAATTTTCCCGTTGGATCCTCTGGGAAATCCTGATGCATAGGGAGTATAGGATATGAAAATGTATGTAAAACATACCTAGAGTAAATTTTCTAAATAAGAAATTCAGGGCGATTCTTACCTCCTCCCATTCTCTGTTCAGAAATATATCTGCAATTAATGCAGCCTCCATCATGACAAGCAGAAACACAAATGCCATGTACTGCACTGCTGGTTAAGGTTAACAAGAAAGAGCTAACAAGAAACTCTGAAATCAAATTTGGTTATTAACATTCTTCATACAAATTTGACTTATTGCCAGACCAAGAAACACTCATCTCAATTCAGCTTCAAAGCTCACTCAGTTAAAATATGAAATGCATTATTCTCATATAAGCATCATCACATCTTATTATAATAAACCTGCAATGTGCTTGTCAGGTTTTAAAAAGCCGTAAAATTCTAACAGATCATGTAGATAATACACCAAAAGGGTAAATGAGGATATCAAAGGAATAATATCCACATCTACCTGAAATTTAGGAACTCATATTCTCTGATTTTTCATATTGTAGAATCCATTCCATCAATATACCTAAGTTCTACAAGGCAAGCAGCAAGGGGGAGGTTTCTCTAGATAAGCATGCTATGAAACTCTATAAATAGGTAAATGAACAGAGAAGAAACACAAGATGGTTGCCTTGAAAGATACCAACGTAAGTACAGACAAAAAGAACATTGACACTCCGTTTCACTACTAAAAGAAATGAAAATCCATCTCACTTGTGAAATGGGATCACCATCACTATGGGATGTAGAGCAGACAGATGTAAAGTTCTGAGAGAAAAGAAATGCAATCCATTCTAGTGTAAGAGAAACATCTCGAATTTGGATTTAGAATGAGAGCAGAAGTGTGAAGAACGTAAGATGCTAAAGACATCCAATATGCTTATAAATATTAGTTTCTTGTAGCCCTTGGGTGTAATCTTGCAATATATACTTTATTTTCTGTGATAATAAATTGTCCCTTTCTCATCTCTCTTTCTTCTCCTCTCCCTATTATCTCACTTAAAGTACTACTTCCTCTTTGTTCACCTCCTCACCTTATTTTTCTCTAGAAGGAAGAGAAGTAACTCCTAAATAGGAGCAAACCCATCCTCTCAGAATTGGCAGTGTACTGTAGCATAACTATTATTATAGGAAAGTAAGCCTGTTGTAATTCACCATCCTCTCAGATAGGAAATTATGCAATAAGTTCAGACGAACTCCATTAGAACAATAAACGACTCAAGCAATCCATATTATTTTAATTTAGTCAAAGATAATTAATGAATTAATGCATATAGTAGACCATGATTCTTGGAGAAGTACAATAAAATCACAAAAGAACTTCTCTTTTCAATCTAATGACACTTAAGAACATGATAGTTGAGATGGAAAATATTTCATCAATACATATAAAACAAATCAAGATCATCTCAATAGAGAAAAGCCTGATTTACATTTTGGAAAAGGATACACAAGAAAGACATTGGCCGTTAGCTGTTTCAGCAGCGATGTGACCAGAGCATGTAATCAAACAAAGGTAAATGCCTAGTCCAAGAAAAGCGTAAATGAACCTGTATGTCAAAGGACATCTAAATCAGTGGTGTTTGCTATTTATTGGATATACAATCATGGATTGGATAATTTACATTTAACTAAAACAGAAGAAGATAATGTCAACATCATGATTGCTTATAGAAGATGATGTCAAAATAATCTAGAACAAGAGTTCTACAAGAACATATTTTATAGCATAAAGAAAAGAAAATTTCCACCTTTGAAGCATATAATTTGATGGATCAATAAGCATGAAACTATCTTTTATGAGAAATATTGTTGGAAATTTTAATTCAATGTTATATCACCTGGACATAACATGCATGAAAATAAGATGCACCATGATGGAAAACAAATATGAAAAATACATTTAAAAAAAACCATTTGTTCAGTGAGCGGAAGAAAACTTTTTGAGCATTAAAAAGTTATACTGCATATATAAGGCAACAACTCATATTTCATCAAAGAAGAGAGTGAGAAGAGAAAGGGTTAATCACTTCAGTCACACAATGCCAGAAAAGAGGACAGAAATTGAAAACAAAAATAGTAATTAATATCAAATTAATCTATAATCAAAATAGCACCATGCCATAAAGAAATTTGATATTGAAAAAACATAACAACTGATAAAACCATAAAGGATAACCTGCTACTTGTGAATCCCCAAAAAACAAGTGGTAAACTTCATATGTAAATTGACAATGAAAAAATTGTCTTTCGCTGAAAGAAAAGAGAAAGGAATATATGAAGTGTAACATCTCGATTAGTCTCACATCGAAAGTGGGCAAGACCAAGATTTGATGAGTGCATTGCTATCAACTTCAACTAAAGTATTTTGACCAGTAGTTTAGATCAAATGAAGTTGATGAGCCAATTAGCTTATCAGGCTCGGGTCGTGACTATTTGGTATCAAAGTCGACCTTGTATTTGGGTAAGTGAGAGGCTTGAGTAAGAAATGACTACTTGTGGATGGAGTTAGAGGACTCGTCATGACGTGGAGCCCAAGGTATGCAATTTCGAATAATACCGCCTGGTACGGGCGGTACGTAACGGTCCATCAGTTTACCGGTACACGGACCGCCCATTACCGAAAGGAACGATATATATATATATATATATATATATATATATATATATATATATATGCGAGACGACGTCGCCGAGACGATGCGACATCACCTTTTATAAAAAATATATCTAAATATATATTTATTAATTTTTATATATATAAACGAGGCGACATCGCCCCGCTTGAGAGAAGAGAGAGGCGACGTCGCTTCGACGACGTCGTTGAATTATATATATATATATATATATATATGTGTATATATATATATATATATATATATATATATATATATATGTGTATATATATATATGTGTGTATATATATATATGTATGTATATATATATATATATATATATATATACATATACATATATATATATATACATATATATATACATATATATATATATATATATATATAATATATATGTATATATATATATA